GAGAGGCCCCCAAGACAGCCTCAGAAGCATCAAACGGGCCGAGCGGGCCCGAAGACTGCCACCAAGAGGCCCCCAAGAGGCCCCCTAATAGGCCCTGTACAAGTCCCCAGCCCTCAAGAGGCCCTGGGAGCCCCCCCACAAGATGCCCCCACGACGCCCCCACGAGGCCCCCTGGAGGCTCTAAGAGGGCTCCGAAAGGCCTCATCCTGCCCATCCTCGTCACCATGACCTCTCCTCCTTCTCACTCCTTTCCTCCCCAAGGTGTTCGCCTGAGGGTTCCCACAACGGTTGAGGGAAAACATACTCGAATAGCTTGGCCAGACGTTGGCCCAACAGTTTGCAGCGTAGGCGCTTCCAAAAGGCAGGGGGCGGCGGTGGTTCGCCGTAAGCATATTCGGTAATACAAGCCTGGACGACGCTGACTTGCTCACTTGCCACCTTCGCCCTTCCCGGACCCAAAATATGGGGCGGTGATTCGCCGAAGCGCATTCGATAAATGCTTGACTCGCCCCTGTCCCCAGAGCGGGCCTCGGGGTCTCTCTGCTTCAGCCTGCTCAGCAGCTCCCTCTTGCTCTGCACCTTGAGAGCGTAATGCCTATGGGAGACATGCTTCTTTCTTGCACCCCCTCCTCTCCCTCCCCCGTCCCTCCTCAACGTGTTCGACGAGTTGGCTCAAAACGTGGAGACCGCGGGGTCCAAGGTAGACATGGGCTGCCTCCTGCTAGGCAGCGGGGCCCCGGGACAACGTTGGATGTGATGCCAATTGGGGAGTTTCTGGTGGCCCCATCCTCCACTTCCATAATGAAAGGGCCAAGCGGGACTTCGACCAGAAAGTGGGATTCCGCCCCACGAATTCCTCAGAAGGAAATCCAGGTCGCCTTCCAAGGCGACAATACACTCTGCCATGCCACCGGGAGGTGGCGACTTCTTCTAGGACTGCCTCAACAAAAAACTTCCTCACAACATATTTGCCACCGCATCTGAAGCCACCAGAAGAAAACGAACTCACTTGAATATTCCTGATGACGTTTTTCGAATATCATGCGCGCTTACACCGACGCCGCAGACCTATTCCCTCTCGTCTGATTTGCCTCACGTATCATGTTCTCCGTGAAAGCCAGATTCCAGTTGCCACAGCCTCGCGCACTTCGTCCTAGCTGCGCTCAGGCGGTTGTCCGCATCGATGGCCGTTGCTCCGTTACGTTCACAGGGTTGTCTTGGAGTCATCTTGAGGCGGCCATAAGGTCGCGCGCGTTGGGTCGCGGGCCTCCCCCGGGGGAGGTTCGGTCCTGAGGCCACCTTGGAGTAACGAGGCCGACCCAGGAAGTAGGGCCCACAATCGACGATCCAGGATCGAGGATGCAAGTTGATGACACAGGATCACCCGACGACCAGCGAAACGGTACCGATCGCAAGCGAGGCTCCGGGCGCCAGGGCCGAGCAGAGCTCGGCAGAACCGCTGCGCGATCGAGGATCGAAGGCCGAGGATCAGGGCCCCGGGGCCGTTCGAAGATCGACGAGCCGAGGTCGAGCGGCTACTGATGGGCCTGTTCTCCACCACCACCACCACCATAAGTTGGAGGGGAGAAGGTCCTCCTCCTCCTCCTCCTCCTCCTCCTCCTCCTCCTCCTCCTCCTCTTCGCCCTCCTCCTCCTCCTCCTCATCCTCCGCCTTCCCCCCATCCAACTTATGGTGATGGTGGTGGTGGCAAACATGCCCATCAGCCACGGCCACTGGAAAGCCGAGGACGGGTGGCCAACCGAAGAGCGAAGATCGAGAGCCCAGAATGCGGGCTCGATCGTCAAACCAGGGCCCGGAGGGCAGGACCGCTCGAATCTCGGCGGAGGAGCCCCGATCGAAGATCGGCGATGGAGGACCGAGGACCCAGAAAACCTCCAAGGTCGAGGAGAGAGGACCGATCGAACAGGTCGAAGCTCGAATGCCAACCGACGAGCGAAGATCCAGGACGCGGTGATGTCTGTACTGTTCCGATCTCCGCTTTTTAGACAAGGGGGGGTACTGTCCGTACGGCCCCCACCCTTGCCATCCACATAATTGCCGCCGCCTGGCAGCGCCGCATGCCACCACACTGCACGCGTGTGCTACAGCAGCTTGGGAACACGGCATGCTCGACATCCGTGACACCGCGGGCCCGCGAAAAGCCGCGGGCGATCGTCTGACGACCGTCCTACGACAACAGCGGTCTGTATTGGCGAAGCCCGTGTGCCCACACACACACACACACCTTTCGCTCTCCTGCTCTCCACCCCCCAGCCTCCACTCCCGTCCGCTCCCCTGCCCTATCCAGCCCATTCCCTTCCCCGTCCTCTGCGACAATCTCGAGATCTGCACGCGGCGCCCCATGGGATGCCCCTCCCGACGAAGCGGACTGCGCCCTATGGGAGGCCCGCCGGCGCGAGGACGACACCTACGTCGCGGCTGTCCTGGACCACCCCAGGAGACGGGGAAGGGGGGGGGGCAGACGGAGGCAGGACTGAGGGGCAGGAGGAGGAGGAGGAGGAGGAGGAGGGGGAGGGGGAGGACGAGGAGGAGGAGGAGGAGGACAACGAGGAGGAGGACGACGAGGAGGAGGAGGAGGGGGAGGGGGAGGAGATGGAGGAGGAGGAGGAGGAGGAGGAGGAGGAGGAGGAGGAGAAGGGGGAGGGGGAGGAACAAGAGAATGATGGGTACACACGTTCGCCCCACCCGATCGCTGATCCGTCACAGTGCCGTCACTGAGGGGAGCAGTATCAAGTCCCTTTGTCTGGCGTTGAGAACTGCAATCTTCTATAAGCCCAGAGCCCCAACTGAGGGGTTTCCTGGCGTCTGTCGCGTGAATCAGCTGACAATTAGATGTGTTTCAACGTGTTCGGCCCCGATGGGGGGACATGAACTGGCCCCGGAGACCATCTCGTGCGAGAATGGCCCCAGAGAACGCCGGGAGGCCCTCAAGAGGCCCCCAGAGGCGCCATTAGATCCAGGAGGCTTCCAAAAACCCTAGAGGCCGCCAGGAGGCGCCCAAGAGGCTTTAAAAGGCCTGCAAGAGGCCCCCAAGAAGCCTCCCCAGAGACCCTAATAGGCATCGGAGAGGAATCTGGACCACTACATAAGGCCCCCTCCTCCTCCTCTTCCTCCTCCTCCTCCTCCTCCTCCTCCTTCTCCCCTGGCGGCGCTAAAGCAGTGCGCCAAGGTGCTGAGTCGGCACCCGGCTGGCACCTAAGAAGTCCCCAGATGCCTCAAGCGAGGAGGAAGAGAAATGAGGGGAGGACTATGCCTTCGTGAACTCACCTCGGGCTGACGGCAGCCAAACGAAGTTCACTCTGACATGCAAAACGCTCGGAAGAGCAGGCTCTTGTGTGACAAAGAAGAAACGATACCGCGACTCCATGGACCTCTCCTGGGGTGCATTATGGCCAGAATTTCAGGGAGAATCAGCCGAGGCGACGAAGCCTTTCAAGGACGAGCAGCAGTATCCGTACGTTCTCCTCCTCTGAAGCTGCCCGAACGGCCAACCATTGGCGCCTCCCAGTCGAGTTCAGCGTGGCGAAGCGCACGACGGCAGACCCGCCGATGCCAATGACTCGGTCCACTGTGAAGTCGTCTAGTCTCAGAACCTCACGCGGACGCAGCGCGGGGCAAACCTGATCGGACAAGAACGGAAAGCGCCGATTTTCTCCATTGGGCCCAAGGGGCGCTTCGTAGGGGACTCTTGGGGGTCTCTTGGGGCGCATTTGGGGTCTCTTGGGGAGCCTTTGGGGGCTCTTTTGGGCTGTGTTGAAGCCCCCCGGGGGCGAGTCCAAGACGATGTTGGTTTGGAGACTCCTCTGGAGCCGATGTGTTGAGGATGTCCCGAGAGAAACGGCCAATTTTCAGAAACCTGACTGGACAAGAACGGGAAGCGCAGCTCTGTCCAAGAAGCTTGTCAGATGAAGAAACTTATCGCAGACGAACAAGACAAATCCCATCGGATCGTTGTGTTGGTCTGCCGCGCTGTTCTGTCGTGTTGGTCTGCCATAGTGCTGAAGTCTGCCGCGCTAGTATGCCGTGTTGCTGTGGTCTGTCGTGTTGGTCTGCCGTGCTCCCGTGGTCTACCGTGCTTGACTGCCGTGCTCCTGCGGTGTGCCGTGATGTTCTCCGGTGCTGCCGTGGTCTGCTACGTGTATGTGCTCGGTGTGTGCTGGGAGGGCGCGGGGGGAGAGTACGGTGTGCGTGCGGGCTCCTGTGTGGTCTGCTATGTTCCTGTGTGGTCTGCCGTGCTCCTGTGTGGTCTGCCAAGCTCCTATGTGGTCAGCTGTGCTGCCGCGTGGTCTGTCGTGCTCCTGTGACGTGTTTTGCTGTGCTCCTGTGTGGTATGCCGTGTTCCTGCGTGGTCTGCCGTGTTCCTGCGTGGTCTGCCGTGTTCCTGCCAACTGCCGTGCTCCTGTGGTCTGCCGTGCTCCCGTAGTCTACCGTGCTCCTGTGATCTGCCGTGCCCCTGTATTGGTTGGTTGGTTGGACCTTAAAGGCAGGAAAAACGAGGAAAAGGAGACACGCCCTCCCGAGAGGGGCCGCCTAGGGCCGCCTCTCCCCGCGGGGGCCGCACTGGGCCTCCACCTCGGCAGCACAACAAGGCGAGAACATATCTACATACAGAATGCAACTGCCCGCCCCACGCACAACCCTTCACCGCGGCTACCAGGGGACGGCTGCCGAACGCATGACAGGCCGACCCCCCTGCAGCAGCGCAGAGCAGAACGAAACTACTCTACCTGCGCTAGAGTGAACTCGACTGCATTGCAAATACACAGCGTGCACATTCAAGCACAGGAGGCTTCACTCACGACTCCCAGCATCAAGGTGTGAGGACAGCACAAGCCAGAAGCGATCACTGCCCATCCACCTCAAAGCAATCACCTTGATAAAGAGTCACAGCGAACTCCCTTCTGCAACCGTAAGCTCTCAGCGCGGGCTTCTACCTCTGCCCTGTCTCCAAGTGTAAGCTCACGCTGCCGAAGCCAAACCTCAGCACGGCCTTCGGCGAGGTCCAGGAGCGATTCCACTTCCGAAAGCGGCCCGCGGGCCGCAGCAGCCACCGCGGCCAAGCCGAACTCATCGAGGAAAGGGAGGTACCACTCGGCACTCGCCGCAGCGGCGGCCCGCACGGAGCCAGCGGTGCCCCTCCCCAGCTCCACGGCCACGCCGCCGCTCAGCACCGCCGCGCCGAAGCGGTCCAGATACTCCAGGACGAGGCTGTCGGGCTCCGAACGGGCGGGGTGTCCTGGGCAGGCCGTGTCCCCGTCCGCGTCGCCGTCGACAGGGCCGTCCACAAAGCCGTCATCGAAGCCGTCGTCACTGCCTGGGCCCGCCAGGCTATCCAGAAGCAGCGGCGGCCGGGGGGCCCTCTCGCCTGCAGTACCGCCTTGCACACCATCGAACGCACGGCACGGCGCATGGAGGGCGGCCCTGCCGTCCTCCTCCATCGCCGCGCCTGCCTTCCAGACCCCCATCGCGGGGAGGGCCAGGCTCTGCCCTGGCGGCAGGGGCAGCCTGCCCGCCGCCGCGCGCACCGTCGCTGCAGACCTCCCATACGCCACGGAAGGACGAGGAGGGCACGCACTGCTCCTGCAGCACCACGCCGTCGCCGCCCCGCGGAGCGCCGGAGGTCGCCCCAGCAAGGCGCCAGCCCGCGTCGAAGCCCTCCCGGAAGGCCCTCGCCCCTGCCAGTGGGTCAGCGACCAGCCAAACGCCTGGCGGGGGGGGGAACGCACCGCCGCTCGCCTGGGCGCCAGCCTCCGCTAGGAGCTCCGCTTCCAGATCAGCGACGTGAATGGCATCCGCGCCCACGGCCCGCGGCTCCGCCTCCGCGGAGCTCGCCGAAACGGCCGACCTCGGGCACGGGAGGCGCGGCCCGCGCTGCGCCCTCCTCCAGGCGGCCCGCGGAGCGCCAGGCCGCGGGAGGGCCCGCGCGTGGCACCCCACAGTGCTCTCGAGGATACACTCTTCCTCCAGCGTCCCGCCGTGCTCCTGGGCGACCAGCACGGGCGCCACAAGCGCCAGGCGGCGCAGGACGCTAGGGGGGGCCGATGCCAGGCTCCGCAGCTCCACGAGCTCGGACGCCTGGCGCTCCACCAGGCGCTCGCGGGAGAGGGCTGACCAGCGCTGTGCGGCCCGCCGCTCGCGCTGAGGCCTCCACAACGCCTCAGACGGCCGCCGCGGCCGTCTCCCCGCAGCCATCGCTCCCAAGCCCGCACCCTCCAGCGGCGCCCTCACGGCCATGGGCGCCCTGCACGGGAGACCGAAGGACGGGCCGCGGGAAATGGTTTGAGCCAGAATGGCTACGGACCCGTGCCCCTGTATTCTGCCGTGCTCATGCGTGGTCTGCCGTGCTCGTGTGGCCTGCCGTGCTCCTGCGCTGTCTGCCGTGATCCTGTGTGGTCTGCCGTGTTCCTGTGCTTTGCCGTGCTCCTATGATACGCAACGTTTGCGCCGTGCTCTATCGTGCTCGTGTGGGGTTTGCCGTGCTCCTGCGTGGTCTGCCGCGCTCCTGCGCGGTCTGCCGTGCTCCTGCGCGGTTAAAGTTAAAGACGGGGCCTTCAAGGCTAACGGGGGGCCCAAGGCAAAAGGGAAACCCATTCGAAACCAACACGGGGCGGCCCCTTCGGGCCTGAGCAGGCGGAAGGGCCAAACCCCCTTCAGACGCCCAACCCCCCCACCGAGGCGAGACCAGATCCACATACAGAATGCAACTGCGCGCCTCACTCAGCCTGGCCGAAGACCTGAGCCGCCTCGAGCAACCGCCGCCCCTCGGCCAGATCGCCGCTCAGGATTGCCGCCTATGGGCCGCCTCGGCCGCAGCCAGCCGCTCCTGCGCACGCACGCCAGGGGCATCGGCCACGAGGCTGCTTTCAGCGCCCTCGCGCCTGGAGCCCGTGCGCTCCAGCCAGGCAGCGCGCGCAAGCTCGCACTCCGCGGCCTGCTCGCTGCCGTCCGAGAACTCGTCACGCAGGAACTGCCCGTGCTCAGACCCGAGATCCTCGAACTCCGAGTCCCCCACGAAGCTGTCCTCGCTCGCGGCAGTCGCCACGCGGTTCGGCCGCCACGCCGAGCAACACGCCGCCATGGCGCGATCCTCCTCGGGCTCGCAGCCGTAGACAGCGACGACCTCACGCGCAGCCAAGGCCGCCGCGAGCTCCATGCCGCGCTGCACCTCGTCACTGTCGGCGCTGTCGCCGTCGGTGCCCTCAACGGGGTCGGACGCGGGGTCGGGCGGGACCGCGAGGCGGCCCTCCGACCCACCCGCAACCAGATCCCCGTCCGACACGCCCCCCTCGCCATCGCAGGAGTCGGCAGAAAACGACTCGCCTTCTCCAGCTCCATCGCTGCCGCTCACGAGGTCGTAGGACTCCTCCGCGCTATCCGACGCTCCGCCTTCACGGGGAGAGCCAAGCTCAGCCCTGTCCGCAGGAGCCAGAGGCCCGCAGCCCAACGCCTCGACCACCGACTCGGCGGTCGCCACGCAGCTCCGCCGGCTGAGGGGGACGTACGGCACGGCCCCGCCCCGCAGCGGCGCGCGCCGCGACCGGCACGGCAGGGCGCCTGGCCGCCGGCGTGCCCGTGGCTCCGCGGGATGGCAGAGCTCCGCGGCGGGCTCGGCGACGCAGACCTCGACAGCGACGTCGCTCTCCCACACCACGTCCACGCTCTCCAGCTCGTCCTGCCCCGTCTTGCCCCCGAGCCCCGCCGCCAGGCTCCGCTCGAAGGCCGAAGGGCCCGAGCCGTCGTCGCCCTCGCCGTCGCCAATGCTCGGCGCGGGCGAAACCTGCGCAGCCCCTGCAGCCAACTGCGCCTCGAGGTCGATCGCCAGGATCGCACCAGGAGGAAGCAGCTGCGTCGCCTCGGGCACGGGCCGCAGCCGCGCCTGCCCAGGCGGCGGGGCGCGCCGCGCCCAGTTCCCCAAGGCGAGGTCCTCCAGCGGCTCCTGGAGGCCGCCCTTGACCCCGAGGACCCGCGCGGCTGCGATCGTCTCCCCGAACTTGGGAGCGTGGGCGCCCACGCGGTCGGCGAGCTGCCAATGAGCCTCCAGGGAACGGCGGAGGGCGGCCGAACGCCACGCCAGCGCCGCCGCCCGCGACTCCCCGATGGCACGCCGATGCCCCCGCCGCAGCCGCCGCGCAAGAGCGCGGGCGGAGGCTGCAGCCGAGGCTGCCCCGCATCCAGAATGCCCCATGGCCGCTAGCGAGCGCGACCGCCCGAGGGCCTGCCGCCAGCCAGGCTCGCTCGAGCCAAAATGGCTACGGATGTGCTCATGTGCGGTCTGCCGTGCTCCTGTGTGGTCTGCCGTGTTCCTGTGCGGTATGCCGTGCTTCTGCGTGGTCTGCCGTGCTTCAGTAGTCTGCCGCGCTCCTGTCGTCAACCGTTATTCTGTGGTCTGCCGTGCTCCTATTTAGTCTGCCATGCTCCTGTTTGGTCTGCCGTGTTTCTGTGTGGTCTGCCGTGCTCCTGTGTGGTGTGCCGTGTTCCTGCATGGTTTGCCGTGTTCCTGTGATCACCGTACTCCTGCACATATATGGCGTCGAAAACAGCTCATCCGAGGCTGCATGTTCCGAGGATGTCTGCAGCGAGAACCATACTTATGAAGAAACGAATTCGCGAGCAACTTCAACATACCACTTTCCTGAGGATGTCTGCAGCCAGAGCCCCGCTTTATGAGAACATCGTCGTAGGGCCGATCCTCCAACATCCTCATGTTGAGAAGATGTATCAGGCGAAACGCTTGTTCCTGCAAGAGGTGATGCAAATAAACTCTTAGTTTGGTGAGGATACCCCTTGCGGAATCATCATGTTCGGCCGTTTTGACAGAGCTCATGGATTTATTCTGGGGTTCGTATTGGGCTATTTGGCGCCGCGTTGATGCCTTCAAACATCAGTACACCATGAAGGATGTCCCTAGCGACATCGCGATGTTTAGAAGGCTAGGTTGCGCAGTATTGATGCCTTTGCGACACCGATTCCAAGACGGTGTGGTAAAGGAATATGTTCGAGACAATGAAATCGCATGTGGCATGTTGTTGAGGATGCCCCTAGCGATATCGTCATGTTCGACAGCGATCCAGGCGCTCAGGGGGTCAGATGTGGGCTCTTTGGAGCCGTAGTGATGCCCTCAGCAATCAATACAATATGATGTTGGACTCATACGTGGTTTAACTGATGCCCGTAGCGAAATCGACATGATTAGAATACTGAGTTGGGCCGTCTTGACGCCTTTGCGATAGCAAGTCCAAGACGATGCGATAGCAGAACTTTTCACAACGATGATATGACGTTTGGCATTTGCGTGAGGAGGTCCCTAGCGAAGTCGTCATGTTCGGCGGTCTTCAGGGCGCTCTTGGGGTCATTGTGAAGTCTTTTCGAGGCCCTTATTTCTTCGTCTTGGAGCACTTCAGAAGCGATATCGAAACGACGTTGGGAATATACCAACGTTGTGCGGACCCCCCAGCGAAATGCACACATTTAGAAACGACGTCAAATATATAACTAAGTTCGTCTGCCGTGCTCCTCCCAACGTTTAGGAGTATGTCTCGAACGAGAAGATCGCTTCAACGTAAGAAGTGATGAAACGCCTCTGCCAACATGTTTTTGCGGCGAAGATTCCTCTGGCGAAACGCCCATGCTCGATCATCGGGAGCGACTTCCCAGATGTCGAGGATGTCTCAGGCGCAGCGCGTGTGTTTGTTAAGAGCGATGCCGCGAAGATTTCATTCCTGTGAAGACGTCTCAAGCGGAAGTGCCACTGGGAGGAATCCGCGAAGCCGGCCCCCCGTGCGGCGCGCCACGGTACAGCCAGAAGAATTTCACAACATGTAGATATGCTACACTTCCAGCCAGAACGCCCAGCTCGCTTCTCGTTCCTCGAAGACGCTTTTTTGAAGACGCAACCCCAACACTGAGGTCTCGTCTCGAGAGCACTCACAGAGCCAACCGCAAGGTCGGCCCGCGCGCGCCACGGACGCAACGCACGAAGCTTACCACCCACTGGTGGGAAGCCCGCACATCAGCACGCGACCCTCTGGCCACGGGCTGACGGCGAGCAGCGATTTTCAAACGGCGCAACACATCATGTGCAGGAGAAGCATAATGCAAAATAGCGGGAGCCACCCTTACCAGCAATGCGAAGTCGGTCGCGCTCCAGGCTACACAGAGGCAGGGCTGCGGGCCGAGCCAAACTCAAAGTCACCAACGCAGCGGGCCAAGGAGGAAGGAGGGCGGGAAAGGAGGCATACGCGTTGGAAGAGAGAAGAAAAAAAGGCGCCTGCAGCAGGCCTTACTGAAGAAGTGAGCACTGGTGCGAGCAACCTGGTGCACTAGCGCACGCACCCAACATCCCAGTCTACGACTTCACTTCATTGAGCTCACGGCGCGGCGCGGGGAGCATGGTCGTCGTCGATCAAAAGTCTCGCAAGCTCATGCCACTTCGACGCCCCACGGGGTTGCGGGACGGATGCGATCAGCACGGGGCGACGGTCAGTCGCTCCGACCCAGCAGCGCGATGCCTGGAAAGAAATCCTCTGAGGGGCCTCCTCGCAGGCAGCGGGCGCCGCCATCGAGGCCACCAGGACGCGCCGCTGGTCGCTCTTGGTCACGCCCTCCTCCAGGGCGGCTCCGCGCTCTCGAAGTGCCAGCTGTAAATAATACAGAACCGCTCGGGACAGGGCGTCGGGGCGTTTGCCCTGCGGGTGCCCCGCGTACACCACGTCCGCCTCCGGCGGCGGTCTTGCCCTCGGAGTCGCGGGGCCCCACCGCGCAGCCCATGCTCAGCTCCATCTTGGCCTTGCTCTCGAGCTCGGGGAGCTGCAGCAAGATGCTCTCGGCCACGTTCTCCTCCGCGGCGGCGTCATGGGCGCCAAGCACCAACTGTAGGCGATCCATGGAGGCGACGGCGTGGCGCGCGCGGTCCTGGAAGCGCAGGGCGTCGCCGACGCCGGCGGCCACTGGGCCGCCGCCCCCCGGGGCCCCCATCTCTGCCGTGGACCGGCGCTGCCAAGCCTGCAGAGAGCTCAGCGCGCGATGTCCGCGCCACGCTAGCGTCGGTGTCTTGGGGGTCGGTCAGCGAAGTGTCGGCCCACGCGCACGGAAGCCCCGACGATCACGCGGCCCCGAGAGGGGCCCAGGGCCAGCGGGGTCTCACGGATGACCCTTGCGGAATCCTGGGAGCCCGTGCTGCGGAGGGTAGCGACGTGGTCGATCCTTGTTTCACCCTGGCCATCGGGGTGCCTCCATGTAGTGCTGCGCCCTGCCGCTGGTCCAAAGGTGTTGAGAGCTCGCATACAATACTGGGAGTGGATGCCCTGCAGGCGCCGCCCCACGTCGGCCCACCGTGGTCGGCACTTGCCCCGCGAGCCGGCATGTCCCACTCCATGTAGTGACGGCGCACATCGAGAGGGAATACAACCAAAGGCTCGATTCACGCTTCGAAGAACTCATCCTTGTCGCGTCGGCACACTGCGTGGGCAGCCGCCGCGGTAGGTCGTGCTCGGGGCTCGTCAGCGGAAGCGCACCCACAGCGGACGTAGAAGTCGATGTGTGGCTTGCGTTGCATACGCATGCCCACCAGTTGTCCCGGCTGCCACCGCTGTGCAACTGCGATACCGCCCCGCGAAGCAATCCGCGTGGGCTCTAGCCGTGGGGAGGCGCGGCGACGTAGCCGGGGCGACCCCAGATCCGAGATTCACGCGAGTAAGTTGCGTCGCCGTCTGAGGCAACCAAATAGCTTGACCGCGCCCCAACGCCCTGGCCTTAATGAAGGTCGACCTCAGGCCACACCCGCCCTCTGGCGAGCATAGCACGGTGGGCGCGGTGATAGCTCCATATGCTGTTCACTGGCTCGCCCCCGTCATAGTAGTCATCCTGCGACACGGAGCTCCACGGCGGTCGCGCCGCCTCCGAACGCTCGGCCCTCCAGCGTAGTGAACTGCGGCTAGCGATGACGCGCAGTAGAGAAAAGAAACATGACAAGTCCCGCCATCGACTGGCGATCATGCCGCGCGGGGGCTCGCGACCCCGCAGACGCGAGAAACGACGCCAGAATCGCTCGAGCCAGGGCCTTTCGAAGACGCTTTTTTTGAAGACGCAACCCCAACGCTGAAGTCTCGCGAGCATTCACAGAGCCAACCGCAAGGTCGGCCCGCGCGCGCGCGTCCACGGACGCAACATACGAAGCTGACCACCCACTGGTGGGAGGCCCGCACATCAGCACGCGACCCTCCGGCCTCGGGCCGGCGGCGAGCAGTGATTTTCAAACGGCGCAACACATCATGCGCAGGAGAAGCAGAATGCAAAATAGCGGGAGCCGCCCTTACCAGCAATGCGAAGTCGGCAACGCCCCAGGCCATACATGGGCAGGGCTGCGGGCCGAGCCAAACTAAAAGTCACCAACGCAGCGGGCCGAGAAGGAAGGGGGGCGGACGAAGGGGCGCAATCGTCGGCAAAAAAAGAAATAAGAACCAAAAATTGAAACAGGCGCCTGCAGAAGGCTATACTGAAGAAGTGAGCACTGGCGCATGCAACCTGGTGGACTCACCTGAAATATATCCCAGTCTACTACTTCACTTCCTTGAGCTCACGGCGTGGTGCGAGGAGCATGGTCGTCGTCGATCAAAAGTCCCGCAGGCTCCTGCCACTTCAACGCCCCACAGGGTTGTGGGATGGATGCGATCAGCGCGCGGTGACGGTCAGTCGCTCCGATCCAGCGAACCTTGCCCTCCTTCACGCTGTCCTGGCTCTCTACCACGAAGCAGCGCTCCGCTTCGTACGGGTGCATTAGGGGGGCCATCTCGCCAGCAGTGGGCACCGCCTTCGAGGCCATCTGGACCTGCTGTTGGTCGTCCTCGGTCTTGTCCTCCTTCAAGGCGGCCCCGCGCCTTCGAAATGCGTCTCATTCTCCCGAACCGACTGAGCCTCTTCTTCAGGTGGTGGTCGTCATCGTGCGGTAAGTAATGTCGAGACCCAGGAGACTGTGCACCATCAATTGTTTCTTCGATGTAGGGGTGGGTCGGGCGGTCCAAGAAGCGCACCCGTCTGGCCCGAGGGTCGGGCACTGGGCTGCCCACGCGGTGGGTCCGCTCCTTTGCCGGCACCTTTGCCTGCAAGGACCGCCGCTGCACGCTCCTTGGCAGACTGCCCGGCTGCCCACCAGGTGTCCCAGCCCACCGTGAAGCAATCCGGCGGACTCTAGTCGTGGGCAAGGCGTGATGATGTAGCCGGGGCGATCCCAGATCCGAGCTTGATGCGAGTAAGTTGCGTCGCCGTCTGAGGCAACCACATAGCCGGAGTGCGCCGCAACGTCCTGGTCTACATGAAGGTCGACCTCAGGCCATACCCGCCCTTTGGCGAGCATAGCACGGTGGGCGTGGTGATAGCTCCATATGCTGTGCACTGGCTCGCCCCCGTCATAGTAGTCATCCTGCGACACGGAGCTCCACGGTGGTCGTGCCGCCACCGAACGCCCGGCCCTCCAGCGAAGTGAAGTTCGGCTAGCGATGACGCGCAGTAGAGAAACGAAACATGACATGTCCCGCCATCGACTGATGATCATGCTGCGCAGGAGCTTGCGACCCCGCAGACACGAGAAACGACGTCAGAATCGCTCGAGCCAGGGCCTTTCAAAGACGCTTCCCGTCATCCGCCAGCTAGTTCCTAGATGCGGCGCGCACCCCGTCACTAGAGAAACGTAGACTTGGTTCATAAGAACATTCCACGCCTGAGCCGCTTCCGTCATCCGTCATCGCACTTCTGTCACGCAGTGCCGTGCCCTGATGTTTTAGCTGAATCCGTATCCTTACAACACGGTGAGGGCATTGGATAAGGGATCCAGTGTCTGATCTCCTGGTGGAGCACCAACTCAGGCCTGGTCATGGATATCACCGCCGCCCTCATCAGATAAGGAATCCTCCTGGGTATGAAGCATCCTGGGCACATTCCTTAACGAGCGCCCGCACCGTAAGAATACTGCTCCAGCGTGGAGCCCAAACAGCAAAGGAGTGCAATATTTGTGGGGCAACGCAGCGCAGCACGCAGCAATGCAAAACAATCAAGCCGCGCCACCCGCGGCGCAGCCCATGGGCGGGACCCCATGGGCGGGCTCCCATGGACGGGACCATGCGGCCACTAAATATCTGCACCACCCATCTCGCACTCCAGGGGAGGAACCCCAGTTGCGGGACACGATGACCGCGAACAGTTTGTCTCAGCCACGGGCGGGACCTGTAGCGCAACCCAGGGCGGAACCCCGTGTGCAGAACTATTCTGGCCACGAGCAATATGCGTCACCCATGGCGCATCCCGTGGGCGGGCCACCATGGGCGGGACCCTATGGCCAAGACAACTCTGCGCCATCCATGGCACAACCCATGGGCGTGACCCTATGGCCCCGAAAACCAGCCCCGCCCCTTGCCCAGCTGCTTGGACCCGACTCAAGAAACGCAAGTGCAAGCACTGCTCGGGGACAATCTGCACGACAACACCACGGGCGGGACCCTATGGCCAGGAAGACTATGCGCGCCACCCATGGCGCAACCCATGGGCGGGACCACAGAGCCCGGAGCCCATTGCCACGAAACATCTTCAGGACCCACAGAGTAACCCATGGGCGGGGCACCGTGGGCGGGACTCGAGTGCCGAAACGAGTCTGCTCCACGAACGGCGCAGCCCAAGGCCGTGGCCACGAAAAACCAGCGCCACCCATGGCGCAACCCTGGGGGGGGAAAGCCCTCGCGGGCGGGGCCCATACGGCACCACGGGAGGGGCTGGCTGGCCACGGGACGTCCTCGCCACCCACGGCGCCGCCCGTGGACGGGACCCCTCTGGCCACGAGGGCCCGCCTCCCCCCGCACGGCGCCACCCCCCCAGGCGAGAGCCCACGGGCGGGACCCCACCGCATGCCCACGAAGAACCAGCACCACCCACAGCGCAGCCCAGGGGCGGAGCCCCGTGGGAGGGGCCCTCCGGCCACCAAAAACACATGCGCCGCCTGGGCCCCCGCGTGCCATGGCGTCGTGGGCACCGCAGGGCGCCGCTGAGCTCAAGGCGGCGGACGGTGTGCTCTCTCCCACGCAGACGGCCACACGAGCAGCTGCCACCTCGCGGGAGGAATCGCCAGTGCCCTGGCCCATCCAAGTAGCCAGGCTACGCGTACTGGCGCCTGGCGTGAACGAGATGCTGCATGCTGCTGGCACGACTACTGAAGAGAAGGAGGGACGAAGACGGAGGGAGGAGAAGCGAGGAGGCAGGAGGAGAGACGAGACTGGACAAGCGCATTGTGTGCGCACCCCGACTAGTTCTACAGGGGCATAAGACGGGCATCAGATTTTTACGGGGCCCCGACCGGATGAGAAGTACGATGCGCAAGATCCCACCGCTCGTCGGGAACCGAGCCAACGACGCCAGGGCCAGATCCAGGAGCCACTCGGCGGCGCGCAGAGGGGGGCGGGGGGAAGGGGAAGGCTTCTTAGAGGACCGGGTGCTTCCTAAAAGCCCCGTGAGGGCTTCTTAGAAGCCTCTGAAGGCTTCTAGGAAACGCCCTGCCCTCACAGAAGCCCTCCCCACTCGGCGCGCCGCCGAGATACAGGAGGGAGAAGGTAGGAGGAGCACGACCACAACGCGACTATTTCATTGCATCTGACAGTGGCCCGACGCTCCTCCGATCCCCGATTAACCTGGCATGTCTCCCGACCCAGTAGCTGAAGCTCAAGATAACAAATTAGCAATTCCGAGTTGAAGACCCAGCTAAATGTCCCACACACGGCACCCTTGAGCGTTCGACGCAGCCTTAAACAGTAGGAGGGGTGGAGGGGGAAGAAGGACGGGAGAGGAGGAGGAGTTGGAAGGAGGAAGACGAGGAGGGCGAGGGGGGCAGGGATCACTGAAAAGAGAGGGGGAGCGAGGAGCAGGAAGTGTAACAGGGCAACAAGGAGGAGAAGGCGGAAGAAAAGGAATAGCAGACTGCAATGAGCAGTCATGGG